CGTGTCTCAAAAAAAAAAAAAAAATTCTTGTCACAAAAATTTTAAATAATTATGCATGATTCCTTCATCATCATCATCATCATCATCATCATCATCCGATTTTCGACTGCTTCAATCGTCGGGGACCCTAACGGCAGAAGAAACAGAATTTTGATTCTTCGTCCTCTTGTTCTTTTCAGTGATGTCATCTCATGTAGCTTGGCGGCGCCCATCTCCTCCTGTGTTAATGATTACGAAATTAAATAAGTTACAAAATGTTCTTTTAACTAATTAATTGATTCACTCCATTTGCCGAGTGAGTGCTGCACTTAACAATCAGCAAATATTCTTTAAATTTTCAAACAAGTCTTAATCCTAATCCCTTTTCATTTGAAACATTCTTTTCCGTGTTTTTTTTTCTAATTATTTCATTGAAAGGCGTCCATGTCACTTTCTATACATAGACTGTCTGCATTTTAGTATTCTATCTTACATGTTTTGTTCGAAATTCATTGTTTTTTTTTTTTTTTAGCTGTGAAATTCTAACTATCAAGCAGAAATCGTGCAAAAAAAAGAAGCAAAACCAACAAATAAAAAATAATAATGAATAAAAAAAAAATAATTTCCCGCATTGCAACTTATAAAGAAACCGGGTAGGGTTTCTAGTCACATGTGCGATTTTATTATCCCACTCCCGGAAAGGACAGAATCTTTCTTCTTTTTGCACTTTCCAACAACATCGTTTGGACGTGTTTCGGCATTAGTACTCATGAAGTAAGCGAACTGGTCGTTCCAACTCAGCGCAAAGCTGACTTGAGGTCGACTTAATACGGAACCAAATAGACAGACAAACATAGCCGAGAGAGAGATTGAGAACTTTGTTTTGTTTCACTACAAACACCATAAAATGGAATAAACGTCCGTAGTCGAAAAAAATCAAATTTTTGTATGTTTCTATCACTTTGTTAACTTATTGAACACGCAGCTTCACGTAAAATACACAAACACGCAACCTGTTAACTTCCATAGAATGATCGTAAAATTTGCCTTCACCATTTGACAAAGCTTTGGTAAATTGCATTGGTAAATTTGCATATTAAGCCCCGGAAGCCAAATGTAATGAAAATTTCCATTCTGATGTAAATTTGCATGCTTATTTCGAAAATAGCAATAAAAGTTTGCGGAAGAAAACTGTTTAGGAGATATAGACAATATAAGTTTGGACTCATTTGCGTCGCGGTTACAGCCCGGCCGTCATTACTGGCTTTGTTTACATACGTTTGACTCGAGTAATAATACGCGGAAGCTTCACTTGTCTAGATTACTGCGCAATGCGCAAACTTTGAATTAAATTTCGCGAACTGCGCAGTAATCAAAACGAGTAGGAAGATCAGTAAAAAAGGCCGTTAAAATGTAAGCTTCCGCGCATTACTTTTCGAGGCAAACGTATATAAACAACGGCAGTAATGGTAGCCAGGCTAGACACGAATAAGACCGAAATTATATTGTCGATAACTCCTAAACGATATTCTGCCGCAAATTTTTTTTTTTTTTTAATTCTTATTTTGGAATTAATCAGGCAATTTCACACTAGAATGGAAATTTTAATTACAATTGGTTTCCGGGGCTTCTAATCTGCAAATTTACCGATACATTTTGTCTTTGTGGATTATTATTCGATAGAGAAGATTCTGGCTCACATGTTCGTCTTTTAGATAATTTTGCTTCGCACAAATATGAAAAGGCTTCAGTTCACCTAACAGGTTCATATGAACATCGTCAGAATATTTTTTTGGATAACGGCTCTGATGGCATCAAACAAATACATGCTCTTTTGGAGGACGTCAATCGACTAGAATCTGAAATTTCTTTAGAACATAATCATATACGGTAACTCTTTTATTCAAGTTCGTGTAATACGCATCCCCCATTAATCTAAATCAATTTGTTTCTTTTCTTCTTTATGAGCCGTGTCGAGTTAGGACGCAGGCGATCATGGCTCTCCACAACAGCCTTCCCCTTGTGGCTCTTAATAAAGTTTGTCTTTCTGCTATGTCTGTTTCGCCATCCATCTACTCAGCTCACTAAGTATGTTGTGCCATTTGTTTCTCCCCCTCTCTCTTGCCTTCAATCTGTCATGTGAGTATCAGATTCTCCAAGCACTCCTTTCCCCTTTCTGTGACCCAGAAACCTCAACTATCTCTTCCTGATGTTAAGTAGGTTTCCCTTTTGTTTCCATTTTTCTCTAAAACTTCGTCTCGCATGTTCATGTTATGGCATCCTCAACATCCTTCTGTAGAACCCCATTTCTGTTGTTTCAAGTTTCTTCTTCATCTGAGAGATGAGATTGTCCAGCACTAATGATAAAGAATAAATACTATATATATTTTTATATATATATATATATATATATATATATATATACAGTTTTAAAAACTAAGAATTTATTGATTTTAATTTTGTTAGTCTCTAAGGCCCTTTCAGCCAACATCTCATCAGGAGGCAATCGTTGCCATAATGGAAACTACTCTGGTTAAAGTGCGTAGCTTCAGAAGGTAGGGGGGGACTACGTGGAAGGTGATTAAATGGCGAATTTATATGTGTTGTATTTTACTTTTATAGCAATCAGTCCCGATATTTTTTGATCAGACCTCGTATACAATTTTTGATGATTTAGTCTTAAAGAATAAAAATTATATAGAAATAAAAAATATATTTAAAAAAAAAAAAAAAAAAAAAAAGAAGAAAAAATGAAGCCCCTGAGGGTGCATGACCACTAAACTATAGCTTATAGGACTATTTACATTATTCGGACTATTTCGAACTGAACCTTTATTTCGCTCGCTGGGGTAGACTGTTCTAGTTCCACTTGCCATGTTTAATGGATGTCAGTTATCAGTTATCTCCTGTTAATTTCCATCCCCAAATTCTCCACTGCCTTAACCAGGTATTAAACTCACACATTTTGGGTCCTGTCACTGGATCTAACCAACGCCCTTATCCACTGTGCCATGTGTTCTTAATACCTGGTTGTGGAGATTTATTTATTTATAAATAATAAAAGGCGATAACTGATAACTGACATCCATTAGATTTTGCAATTTTTTTTAGAACAGTTTACCCCAGCGAGCGAAATAAAGGGTCAGATCGACATTTCAACCATCTGAAGAAGGGTTGAGCGTACAACGGCTGAAACGTTGTGATAAATATGGAAAACAAAGATGAGGACAATAGTTCGAAATAATGTATTTTTTAATTTTAATAGGTCTCAGAAATATAGACAGATAGTTTATTTAGTTTATAAGTAAGTCTAGCATATAGGCTGTATTTGGTGTAAGCATAACAAAGTGTTCGGTCTAAGGATATTTTAGTACTGGAGAGAAAGGAAAAAATGATTTTAGTGACAATTGAAAGACTAGGTAAGCGATCTGTGTACGACTGGGCAGTTTTTATTTTTATCTCATTCACCTATAGTCCTGATCTGACGGCTTCAGATTTTAGGCACTTTTAAATTAGATTGGTTCAAAAATGATGATGGGGTGACGAAAAGACGTATTTACAATTTTTTCTAAGGACGCCATTTTATTTCTGTTTTCACATCGATATAGTATTTCAATAACTGAGTGAAGAAGTTGAGAAGGAAGGAGACTAGATCTAGAACCCTGAGAATGAGAGAGAGATGTAAGTTTTCATTGAGAGTAGAGAAAGATTTTAAAAAAGAAAATGAGAGAAAGTTTAAGAATATTATATATATATATATATATATATATATAAAGAGAGATAGAGAGAGAGATTGTTTTAATAATGATAAAATCAAAAAAAGAAGAATGAGTGGGAGGTCAGATGAACAATGATAGAGAGAGAAAAAAGAAATATTGATCTGAGATAATCTCAAGAATAGATATACACAAAATGAGAGAGAGACAGAAAAAATTTTTAAAGGATTTTATATATATATATATATCATTATATATATATATATATATATATATATATATATATATATTCAGATTGAAAAAACGGGAGAAAAAAAAAATAAATATAATGAGATTAATTAATGAAAGAAAAAAATTTTTTAAATTGAAAGACGCAATGTAAATTAAATGACAGAGAAACATGGATAATAGAAGAGAGAGAGAGAGAGAGAGGGGGTAAAAGAAAGAAGATATATGAACAGTGATAGGGCTTTAAGGTGGTGTAATTTACCAAATACTTGTAACTCAGTTAAAATTAAAAGCAATTGAGTATTGAGTTCGATCCTCATTGGGTTAAAAATTTTGGTGTTTGTGTCACATCTAGGTTAAGCTTGAAAAAATTCATATATGAACATGATAGAGAGAAAAAGATGAGTGAGATACGAACGGGTATTAATATATACAAAATGAAAAAAAAGAAGGAGAGAAAGAGAGAGATGTTATATATTTAAAAGAGAGATTCAGGTGCAAATAGTTAGAGGGAGAGAAAAAAACCGAGAGGCCATGAGATCTTGGATTTAATAATAGAGAGAGAGATTTTATTGGAGAAAGTAAAAAGAATATGAATTCTAAAAGAGAAATTGTACATGAGCGGGAGAGATATGAACAGTGAAGAGATGGTGAGTGATTAAAGGGGAAAGATATAAACAGTGATAGAGAGAGATCTTGAGGGATAAAACAAAAAATCACTATAGAAGGAAACAATGAAAGAGAAAAAAGAATCATGATTTTAAAAGAGATGAAAAAATATTTTTAATAAAGATTAAAATTTTTTTTGGGATAGAGAGAAAGAGAGTAGAGATAAAAGAAATATGAGGGAAATCAGAAATTTTTTATGAATAAAATGAACAAAGATAGATCTTTTCATGATGAAAATTGAGAAAAAAGATAATGAACATTGATAGAGTTTTTTGAAAACTGTTTGGGTCAATGAACAGTGATAGAGTTTTTTTAGAAATATTTCTTAGGAGAGAAAATGAGATAGAGCCAGTGATAGAGAGAGAGAGAAATTGTGGGACTGAGGACATACGAGAGATTGGAAAAAATTTAGAGAGATCTTTTGTTCAAGGATGGGAGAGAAATGAACAGTGATAGAGAGAGAGAGAGAAAGTGAGGAGAAAAGAGATAATTATTTTTAAATTTGAAAAGAGAGAGAGAGAGAGAAAAGTAAGGGAATGAAGAGATAAAGAAAACAATGAAATGAAAGAGAGAAAGTGAGGTTATAAACCCTGGTTTTTGAATAGTGAGATAGAAAAGAGAGAAAGGGGAAAGTAAATTCCTGGAACCTGGGAATTTGATAGAAAAAAATTAGAAGATATGAACAGGAATCGATATACAGAAAATGAGAGAGAGAAAGAAAGAAAGGGAAGAGTGAATGAGTGAGAGAGTGATAAAGAGAGAGAGAGAGAAATAAAGAGTGAGATATGGATAATGAGAGAGAGAGTAAGATCGAGTGGGTGCGATATGGATAGTGATAGAGACAGAGATAAAAAGAAAGGGAAAAAAAATTGTGATTCCATGATTCAAATGAACAGTGATAGAGAATAATTTCTGAATTTAGAGTGAGAGAGATATGAATTGGAATGATAGATATACACAAAATTTATAATGAATTGGAAAAAGAGGATTATTTAGTGACTGGAGTAATGGATTTTTTAATTAAAAGAGAGGAAATTATTTTTCTTAAATGCGAGAGATAATAATGATATTTATATATATATATATATATATATATATATATATATATATATATATGTGTTATATATATATAAGTTATGAAGAACTTGGTGAATCAATGGGTAATCCGAAAGGAGGATGAAATCTGAAGCTCAATGAAAAATTCAAACAATATTTAAAAAAAAAAAAAAACAGACCACTTTAAGGTACCATTATATTAATTTATTTCACCAAGCATTTTAAACGCAACATCGGAATTTCAGATAATATTTAATTTTCCTTTCCTATTTTTTTGGACTTAGAGGATGAAAATTGAATTAAAAATTTATCTATATAAATGATGACAAAACCTTAATTTACTTTTTTTAATAGGAAAAGAAATTGTATGTATAATTTTTTTATTTACGAAATCAAATATATATATATATATATATATATATATATAAATGTATGTATATATATATATATATATATATATATATATTATATAGAATTTAATATAGTATATATATATATATATATATATATATATATATATATATATATATATATTAAAATAATGAAAAAAAAAATTTTTTATCAGAACTTGGATGAATGAGAATATATAGATAGTAAAAAATTTGCAAAAAAAAGAAAGAGAAGTATTAATGAGAGAGTCACTGACTTAGATATAAAAAAAAGAAAAGAGAAAAAGAAATTTGAAGAAGAAAGGGTTATGAGAGAGAAAAGAAAAAATGAAAAATTGATTGCTCAAGACAATTTTGAAGAACTAAAAGGTAAAGAATAATATAGTGTATTTTGACACTTTTGAAATATAATCTTTGTTTTGTTAACAATAAGACATTTATATAGAAATGTGTCCCTTCAGGACGTGGGCGATCATGTTTGTTTCACTAAATAATTTTAGCTTTTAGTATATTTTAAAAAATTTTCGTTGTCTCTATTTAATCCAAAATTTTTTTCCAATCATTTTACAAAAGTTTAGGTAGGTCTTGCACAAATTTTTTTCAAATAAACAATTCTTGACTTTTGTCTTTGTTGAAAAGGTCAAATTTTCTTAGCCTTATTTCCTCAAAGTTGTCATAATTTCTTTAAATGAAGCATTGTCATTATTAAAATAAAAATTTTTAGTTTTTTTTTTGGGAAATTTCTGTTCACTTATTTAATAGTAATAAGACGTAATAGTCTGAAATTATTTGAATTTATTAAATGAAGGAGTGTGTATGTTAGTAGATTTGTGTATATGTTTTAGGTGGAGGTGCGTGTTCAATATATAAACAAAAAAAGATAGAAAAAAACATCCAAAAAAAAAGTTGTTTTTCTGCTACGGACGTTTAATTTCGTTTTAAATATCTGTATTGAAACATATTTTTTTAAAAAAAAAAATTGAGAAATGTTCTTCATAAAAAGTTTTTCATGATTCTGAAATTCCAGTCTTTGTAAAGGATAAAATAGGGTAAAATGGTCGATTTTCAAGTCAGACTCTGCGGAGTTGAGTTGATCGAATTTCCTTCACGAGTAAAAAAAAACACGTCCGACGATGTCGTTAGAAAGTGGAAAATGTTCAGTCGTCAATACAAACATTAAAAAAAACATTCCCCAGTCTAAATGTTTAAATTTTTATTCGTGGTAAATTTAAAGGATAAAAGATTATGTCCTCTTCCGGAAGTGAGGTCATAAAATTGCACATATGACCAGAAAACGAAAATTTTCAGATAATTTTGAAGATTCATTGTGGAAATTTTCTTCTAGCAGTTGACAAATGCCGCTGGCGAATTTATATGTGTTGTTTTGTAAATATTATCGTCCATTACCAACCTTCGTTTGATTATTCTATTCAGTTGCACCATGAGAAAATTAATTAATTTATTTATTTTCTGTCGTTATTATTATTTTATTTATTGTTTTTTATTTTCCTTACATTAAAAAATTATTGTTTTTTAAAAATTTTCCTTTCTTTTTGTTTTTTGATCTTATATACTCTCAATAATAAAAACATGTAATATAGCAATCTATCTGAATAGACGTTTATTTTTTATTTTGACTCATTCAGCTTTTGCTGAATTCGTTTATTTTATTTCGAAGGGGTTTGGGATATGCTTATTTATTACCACATGTAATATAATTGAATTATTTTGATTTTTGATGTTGCGAATGTCATCAATTTTTTCTGTTTTTCTTCCATCTCATTTTTTGTTCTAGCATACCTGTAGATATATAATGGGTATGTCCCCATATATAAATACAGTAGTAAATACTGTATGTTGGTCTGCAGTTGGAGATTCGTCTCCAGCTGTGCTGGTCAAACTCTCTGCCTCCGGGCAGAGAGGATCCCCAGACGAGGCTATGTCGAAGGGCAGAGTCTCGTCTCGGGAAACAGCTACCCGACCCCGTTTTATACGGGGTCTACGGGGAATTTTTGGCCGAGCCTACGGGCTCGGATACCCCACATTAAATTCGGCCTTGTGCCACATCTGACCGCGTGGGGCGGTTGGTAGATATCCTGCAGTTGGAGATTCATTGTGGAATTCACTTGACTCACTTCTAGCAGTTGACTACTTCTACGCGCCGCTGGCGAATCTTATATGTGTTGTTCTTGTCCTAAGTATTATCGTTCATTACCAACCTTCGTTTGATTATTCTATTCAGTAACCTTCCCTAGGTTACAACAAATACATATTTTTTTAAAGTAATAATGATTTATAAAATTTATATACAATTAAGAGCAGGTAACACATGAGGGTTTTTCATTTAGTGAAACATGAATTTCGATTTTAACATTTTTGTCGTTTGGATATGAAACAACTGTTTTTTTTTTATTTCTTTAAATAAATAAAAGAAAGTTTTTTAAAATTCTTTGTGCTCTTAATAATATATTTATATTACAAACGTTTAAAAAAATTTTCAAACAATTTAAACGCAAAAATCTTTTTTTCTTTTAAATGTTTATAATGACATTTTAAAGGAAGAACTCATGTTATTATTAAATTTTGTTAAACATTAAATTTTTTTTCAAAAAATTTTTAGTTTGTTTGAAAAAAAAGTAATTTCAGAATAAACGTTATATGAGCTTAATTTATTTTAAAATAGTAAAGATGAAAAATTGCTTACCCATTTTTTTTTAAAGTCTCCTCTTTATTCTGAAAAATCAATTTTTAAATTGATTTTTTAAAAAAAAAACCCCAGCGACAGAATATAAAAAAAGAAATGATGGCGGCAAATTTTTAACATGAGTAAACTTTTGTTTTGGATCAAAAACAGGAATATATTAAAAAATTAAACATCATAAAGAGAGATATCTTTTGAATTAAACAAATAAACAGGTAACTTTTTTTGTTGTAAAACCAATCATATTTGCATATAAACAAAGGAATCTATGGGTTATTAAATGGCAAAATATTTTAAATATTTTGTACACAAATTTATTTATTTATTTAATTTTTTTAAAAAAAAAAAAAAAAAAAAAAAAAGTGATACAAAATTACTAATTAACAAATATGGGGGGAAAATATTGCCGGCGATATTCAAAATTGCTACTGTGTGAATACATTAACCTTCCCAACGTGGAATTGGAACTCGCTTTTTAAATTAATTGAAAATTTTAAAAATTACAAATAAAATATATCGTTTTTAACATCTGAACTTTCCAAAATAGCTTTATTAATTCTTTACCAAAACTTTGCAGGCATCAATGTTTTTCGTTTCGAATTCTAATTAAGTCATGTCTTTCGTTATATTTTAGAAACATTTTGAATTTGTTTTAGAATAAATATTTTAAAATATGACTTTTTTTTTGGATTTCGGTTAAACTGAAATTTATTTCGAAAATTTAACCCGAGATTTTCTTAAACCGAAACTATTTTTTTCAGAGGAATCAATTTAAATAAAACAAAATATGTTTAAATTCTGAAAAAAACAACTTATGAAATGGATTTTTCAAGCACCCATTTTAATTGAATTATTTAAACTATTAACAATATGGGTTTGTGGAAAGTCAATATAAAGGAAATAAAGTCAATTGAATTAAATTTAACAATGGGGATACTAAAAATAAAAAATAAAGGTTTATAGATTTAAATCAGGATATTTAAAAAGAGATTCGGGAAAAAAAAAGAAGTATTTAAATTATCAAATTCATTAATCCGGGTCTATTAATACCAAACACAGCCAAATTTGGGACCAGCAGAAAATCATCTTATGTTTATATATTTGAAGAATTTATTTAAATATTTATCATTTTCTATCAACAGAATTTTTTTAGAAATTCTAAATTATGTGGAAATTTATATTGCTGAAATTTGAATGATTTTTGAACAGGATGAATTGCAAAAATTTTTATTAGGACAATTTAAAGGATTCTTTGGATTTTAATGTTGACTCGACTTTCGTTATTTTGGAATTTGTTTTATCCATTAAATTCGCTTTTAAATCAAAAAAAATTTTTCTCAAAATGCGTCTTAATAAACAAAAAATGGTTTTTCGAAATTAAATTGGGGAAAATTAATTTAAACATCAAAGAAAAATTTATAGAAAACATTTTAATTATTGGATTCAAAGTTTTCATTTTTTTCATTTTTTTGAATTTTATATATTTTTTAAAATCTTTTCA